GGGACTTGAGTCCTCCCCTCCCCGGCCCCATGGCAGCTCCTTCTCCAGTTTCACCACTGGAGCACCCATCTGCTGCTGAGGATCTTCTGCCATCTCCAGACGCTCTTTCAGCATCTTCAAGCTCCAGCAAGACTGAGGATGACAACAGAGAGGGCCCTTCTGAGAGCGGAAGACACACAAGTCAGCCCATCCAGTTCTGTGTCTACAATAGTGACTATCCTCAGGAAGCTGACAGATACCCTCGAATCCTACCAGCTGACCTGGGGCTTAGGTTAGTCCGGGTGGAGACAATGATGCAGACAAACTTTGAGGTCAAAACTAAACGATGGATGCACTAGCAGCTTGACTGTGACAGTGCACTCAGTCTAAAGACAATGCCACACGGGCCACTGCCCCTGCTCTTGACTGCCCAGGTAACTAGAGGTAAAGTCTGCTGCTGAAGACACAAGACATTTTGGTTGCAGGGCCCAGAGAAATCAAGCTGGAACTGACCTGAAATTTCCTCCCTATTATCTAGTTTTCACAGTGCTGGAATGTGCTATACAGTCCACTGGAGGAGAAAAGTCATCATCGCTGGTATTACCCAGTAGTGAAGCTTGCCTATAATAAAAGTCTATAATAAAGAATGACCTGCCAGACAAGATGTCCACTGGTGTTATAGTGATGAAGGTCATGGAGGTAACCAACTCCTTTCTGACTGGATTTGTGGCTTGCTCCACAGGAGGGAATTCATGCCTGGTGCTGTAAACCTGGTTAAAAACCCACAGCCAGGGAGGTTATGGGCCTAAGGGAGAACCCACCACTGTGGTTTTGCTGAAACAGACGTGGGACCAACCACCTTCTAAATACTTATGCTTACACCCATAGATCAGAGCTGCTCTCAGGCTTGGTTAGGGAAGCCTTCTGCGTACAGTTAATGCAGAGACTTACAACTGGTCAAAGGGCGGAGACTAAGTGACTGCTGAGTGTTCGTCCCTAAACGCAACATCTGCGTCAACACCTCTACACAGCCAAGGCTCAGGGGACATAGCGGAAAAGAGACAGAAAGAACGTAAGAGCCGGAAGATGGCCAGGAGTCCCGTGAAGTGCTGTCTTCCGGACATGACACAGCCAGGACACTCATACACTTACTGCAGCTGTGGTCACCTGCACAAGACCTGCACAGGACCAAGCCAGTAAAAGCAGTCAGCGTTCCAGCAAAAGGTGAGGACGTGAAAATGGGACTGAGGTGTTTGGGTGTTCCTGGGAGGAGCGGGAGAGGGGAGTTAGGGTAGACATAGTCAAGATACTGTTGTTCGCATGTCCAAAAATGTCAAGAGCATAGGTAAAAGCTGAGACACAGAGAATACGCAAGCAGCATATATAGCTGTCTGCCTCCCAAAACATGGAAGGTTTAAAAAGAAGAAAGATGGGAGTGGAGAGGCAGCTCGGTGATTAAGAGCACCTGCTGCTCTTGCAAAGGACCCAGGTTCAGTTCCCAGCACACACACTGTGGCTCACAATCATCTGTAACTCCAGTTCTAGAAGATCTGTGTATCTTTTGGACACTGTGCGCACCGGGCACTCACGCATCAACAAATGTGCAGGGGAAAAAAAACCACACCCATACACATAAAATAAAATATATTTGAACGAAGAAAGAAAGAACAAGTAGGTGTGGCGGCACGCATCTTTAATCTCAGCATTGGGATGAAGAGGCAGGCATATCTCTGTGAGTTTGAAACCACCCTCCTCTACATAGTGAGTTCCAGGACAGTCGAAGCTACACAGTGAGAACCTGTCTCGAAAAAAGAAAGATGAGCAGCCGTGGCGATAGTTACCTGTAATCCTGGTACCTGGTTTAGGCTGGAGTAGTGAGTTCCAGGTCAATCTGGCGACATAGCTGGAAGAAAAAGAGAGAAGAAAGGAGTGAAGGAGGAAGGGAGGGGGAGAGGGAATAACAGGCTGGAAAGCGAACATTACACACCAGGAAAAAAAAAAAAAAAGGCTGCAAAGCACACCATAAAATGAGTCTTGTTTACTTCCAGGCGGGCAGGCTGGAGAAACAGGGCCCTAGCCCCAGGCACTAAGGCGCTCAGATTGTTAGCCAACTGCTAAAGATTCTACTGGATGTTTGCGTGTTTCTCAGGCCGCCCCTTAAACCGACTCCTCATTTTTCTGTCTACATTACTCGTCCCTGCTGCATCGAGCTTTCTCAAAAGTCCGCGCTACTGCCTAGCGCGGTCCGCCAGTGCCCTGGGGGCAAGAGGCCCTCGTGGATCTTTCCACGCAGGTCTCTGGCAGACAGAAGGTGCCGCGTGGCTGTTCTTCCAAGGACGGTCCTGCATCTGCGTCTGAAACGCTCAGCGGCGCTTTTCCGAGTCGCGGAGTCAAGGTCTCCCCGGGGATCCTGGACACCCCGTGTCAGCTCCCCCCACCCTCCCTGCCTGGCCCGGCCGCGACCCGCGTGGATCTTACCTGGGACCACGGCTGTGCGTGGAGATGCGACCTCCGGGCCGCAGCTGCCCTGCCCAGCTGCAAACAGCTCCGTCCCCACCCGCCCGGACTGGGCCACGGCCTTGACTGACTGCAGGCTCAATACCTTCCCAGACCTGAGCCGACCGGAAGTGGGGGGCAGATGCTGTCAGGCAGGCGCCCTATTGAATGTGCCTATGACCCTTTCCTCTCTAGGACGCTGGGAGGTCTCAGAAAGAGGTATATCTCTATGGTCAGTCATGGCCCGTGCAGGCTCCCAATCTTTCTCCTGGCTCTACTGCCCCTCCGTATATTTTTCATTTTTTTTTTAAATGAAACTGTACAAAAAAGGAGCTTCTCTGCCCTAGGCTAAGAGATGCATTAGTCTATGGGTATAAACATAAATATTTTATCATTTTAAATGTAACTAACTATTCACTGTGTGTTAGGACAACCAGAGGACTCAGTTCTTACCTTCTACCACGTATGTAGGTCCCAGGGATAGAACTCAGACCATCGGGCTTGGGGACAAGCACCTTGACCCACTGAGTCACCTCACTAGCCCTGAACATAAATATTTAGACAGCAATCTGACAGTATGTTCCTTTAGGAAATGTGATGGTTAGTTTT